CCCCAAAACCCCAAAACCCCAAAACCCCCAAAACCCCAAAACCCCAAAACCCCAAATCCAAAATTTAAACTTGAAATTACTAGTAATAATATTAGCTTAATGATCAGCACGAAGAACAGGATTGAGGTAAGACCGAACGAATGGGTTTTAGGAAGAGATAGGGTTATAGTAGGGGTTAACTGACTGGTTTAGGTACAAGAGACTGATGATATGTGAGATGTACATGATGAAGGACTGGTTATGGTAAACTCTTTAGGTCCTGTTAAGGAATGACACTGAAGTGTTCTACTGAGTGATAAAGGGAGTATTAGAAGTGAAGAGGTTGATGGGTTTATGGAAGAGTTGGGTGAGGAGTTTACTAAGAGACAGCGTTTGTCACAGCAATTTGATGAGTTTAAGTTTCAGATTAAAGATGGGATGGAGCCTGGGTCTATCTGAAAGCCGAGGTTTGTTAAGAAGTATCCATTACTCAGAAAAGTGAAAACACGCAAAGTGTCAAAATATGGACAAAGTCAGCTTAAAAATAGAAAGAGTACAGCTGGGACTATAAGCATATCCTCGCCTCATAAGCCAAGGATGTTAGATACTACTAAAAAGTCCAGCCATAAGCCTATAATCGAACCTCTGATCACCATGAGTGGAGTTGAGCCTGGAACTTAACAACAACTTAACTAATTCTCTCTTAATATTTTCTTTATCCATGTTCTTAAATTTAAGAATCATTATAAACACCTTACTCTCAGGCTTATTTCCAAGGGGTCAAGAAAATATTAAAAGAGGATTCTAAGAATATCTGCTTATACATATAGATACAGAAAGATATCTTCAAAAATTGAGCTGATTGATAGCACGGTTAAACTTTTAAGCCTCTATCCGGATTTTCTGTTACAAAATCTAGCCATTATTATAAGCTCATAGTTTAAGTCCAATTTTGAATAGGTTGTTGGATTATTATTTCGCTGGGATTGAAGCTCTTTATCTCATACCATTACCAAAAGACTGGCCTTCACTTATAAAATACCTCATTTATTATACATAATTGATTTAGTTAACTTTGTAAAAAGAGATGAAGTTCATAATTTTACTTAAAAATTAGGATATTTTCTTGGGTGATAGTTCCTTCCAGACAATATCAGAGGCCAAACAACCTTACTTGCCTGCCTTCATAGTTGCTCAATTGAACTTTTAATTCTTAAATGGATCTCAGGCTTTATAAATTGAGGTTTTTTAATGTAATAATATGACCAAGGAAGCTGATTTTGGATTTAGTTAAATTATCATCACGGTGAAAATTATAGACATTTTAGGTCCTATATCCACTAAGCTCTAGCTATTGTATCCATTCAGGAAGATTATGAGCGAGTATTATTATAATATCCAGACCTATTTCATAATGGAATGTACCCCCTGAGGTTTAGTTCTTAATGATAATTTTATAGCGAAACAAACTTTATGAGAGATACTATTAAAATGAATAGATTTAATCACAAATTCTGAAAATATCCATATCATTTCTTAGACTGCCATTTGTTCAGAAGAGTAAAGCCTCTAATTTGTTAGCAAATTTGCTTTCTTGTATACTAAAAAAATTAATTTAAGTGTTATTTTATCTTCCATGAGGACAAGATTTTGACAAAAAAATTAAATTTGATTCAAAATAGTTGTCTTGCTGAAGCTTAAACACAAAATAGAAGAGTCTCGAGGCTTTATAGCACCATTTAAGTTTGCATAAAATTTAATTTAATCCTATTGCCTTAACAAATGGGCTGTTAGATAACATAATTTTCAGCAGGTTCAATAAATCCTATATTTTCTTTTTTTTTGGCATGTTATTTTATGAAATGGACTTTATAAATATTTCAAAATTCTTTGTGGCTTACAGTTTGATTTAGAAAGGAAGGCGAGAAGTGTGAACAATTGATTACATATGATGTATCCTGTTTTTAGATTATTGTCAAAAATTTGTGCAATGATTCATGTTGTTGGTGATTTTTAAGAAAGAAATTAATTTTAGAAAATTTAGCTGCTTGGGAAGCTTACCGATAGTCTTTTAATAATCAAAATTTGAATTAATATATAATTTTACTCTGATTTACAACTGTAATTTTCTATCATCCTTCTCAACTCCTAACTCAACTCAAACTTATCAAATTCCACCTATCAAAAAACTACCACCATCAAAATCCAAATCCAACCCATCCAACTCCTCCCAATTTACCCTCCCACTTCATCCTCCCCTATATTTCTTCCATTTCCATAATCCTACTCCTAACCCTCTTTCCCCTCCTTTCAATCACTTCCTCTACTCCTGGGGTTTTGGGGTTTTGGGGTTTTGGGG